ACAAATATTCCGGCCCCCCCCCCCCCCCCTTGATTTTTAACATAAGTCGCTTATACACAGTTTTGCATTCCTTCATTTTTTTACCTTTTCGCAAAAAGGCGCTATTTAAAATTTGCAAATATTTGTAATTTATTAACTCAATAGTTTTATCTTTTAGATTTAGTCAGAATTTTTTTTTAATGCGCCGATACTGATTTTAGTGCTTTATCAATTGAATTGTGTATTTTTATCGGTTTAATATGAATTTGAGAAACATTTGCGCGATTATCGCAGGGCCTACAAATTTGGTAGCACCATCTTTTTATTCTACCGGGTCTGTGCTTTCAGAAAATATATGGTTTGGGTTTGGTTTTTTTACAAACGCTAGCAACGTAGCAGTAGAAAATCAAATCAATGGGAAGAATTGCAAAACTGGTGTGGCCAGCTGAGGTGCAAAATGTTCTGCAGGGCTTGGCAGCGAAAGGGTTCAAAGATATTTTATTTTTAAAAAGAGAAAATATATTGAATGCTATGCTATGCTTTTCTCCCATTTACTTCACAATGTCAGTGTTCTCCTTGCAGGCAGCACTGTGTTTTTTTAATCTACACAGTTGTTATGGTTATTTTTGCATGGATCTAATAGTGACAGGTTCTGATTAATGGAAGAGTGTGTCACCCTGGCAGGAAGGGACTGCATTCTATAGGCTGTGCACTCCTGGAGATGTTCATGGATGTGTACAGCAGGAAGAAGCCGGAGAGGCTGCGGTGTGATTGAAGCTCAGCTTACCATGCCTCTCCTCCATAGTCACAGCCAACACACTAGCACAGTACAGCCTGTAGTAGGTAATGACAGCGGCCGCTATGACCACCATACACGTGATACCCACCCGGGGATCAGCACAGCGCAGCGCTCGCCTCATGCGCACTTACGTCACACAGAAAGAGGGCGGACACAAGACTATTATAGCAAATCACAGCCCAGTAGTTCAGCGGCCAATCACATCACATGACTCACAGCCCTCCGGTATTGGACAGCAAAGTGCAGGTAGAGTAGCCGAAGCGCGCCCTCTAGTGGCCATAATAAATTGACGCGCCTTGGCTGCTGCAGCAAGTAGCTCAACTTCCCAGTATTGCGAAACTAAATATGGAAAAAAAATATCTCATTACATGGAACGTAAAATCTTAAGACATGACCTATTTAATGAAATTAACTTTAACCCATGCACTGCAAAGGTTAACTACTGATTAATGCCTAGGGTAATTAAAAAAAGTGATACTTGCCCGATCCAAAACGAGCTGTAATATGCCAAAAAAAAACAACCTCTTGTACTTTTTCCAGTGACAGGTGTTTTGCGTATTGCGACAAAACACTCAGATGTGAACAGGGCCATAGAAATGAATGGAATTTTTTGGGGGGCAGATTTTGAGCGGTTTTTTTAGGGAGGAAAACACGCTACAAAACGCTCAGTGTGAACTAGAACTTAGATTCAGGACCCTGTGTCAGATTTGAGAGTCAAACACAAACTTTTCCCAGCACACTCTGCAAAAAAACACTAACTACTAAGGTTAAAAACAGGTCTTAGTTGCACGTCTTCTGCAGAATATTTGAAGAGTAGATTTGAGAGTCAAACACAATCATTTCCCAGCACACTCACCAGACAGCCTACAAAAAACAAAACAGACAGCCTCACATCCTGTATTGAAAACAGAAGTTTTGGTTGCACAATCTTTGCAAAATATGAGGCGGCCATACTGCCTCATCAAGTCTCCTCTGTATAGTGTTGTCCTAACTCTCTATGGGAACCTCCATCTTGTCAGAGTCAGGTCTCAGACTTGGGAGTCTGGTTTGTTAAAAACCAACGTTTCAGGGCTTTGCAGGGACACAGTATCGCCTTGAGGATATGCCCTGCTGTCTGAGGAGGCGGAAGCGCGCGGGAGGGGTTACACTCTGGCCAGCATCTCACCCAGCTCCTGGCAACCAGGACGCCGGACAGAGCATGTCAGGTTGCTAAGAGCTGGGCAGTGGATGTGAATGGCCCCTAGACATCTCCCCGGGTGGTTCATAGCAACCTGGGACAGCTCTGCCCGGAAAGAGGATGGCAAGCACACTGCAAACATTGTGCAGCAGAGTGGCCATGCCGCTCTGCCTGTTGCCCCCCCCCCCCCCCCCATGGGACCCAAAGAGATGCCACCTGAGGCAACAGCCTCAGACTGCCTCAAAAAAGGGACAGCCCTGACTGTATTTCTTCAGAGTCAGTTGTCAGGCTCAAGAGTCAGGGGTCAGCTTCAGAAGTCCCAGCTGTGCCGATGAAGATGCTGAACCCAGAAGTCAACCAGATGAAGATGGCAGTGCCCGGGGAGGAGGAGACCGCAGACATTGCAGCGCCTGCAATGCAAGTTGTCCATAATGTGCTAATAAGCTGTGCATACTAACACATTATGGGAAACGCCTCTGGCGGCAGCACCATAGCTAGCTCCTTTTGCGCAAGAGGCAAGAACAAAAAATTGTGCCCCCCCCCCCCCCCATCCAGAATGTTTTTATTTTTTTACTTCGGGGAAATATTAGGGGTCTATACAGACCCCTGACATTTTCCTTTTGAAATAGAAAAAAGGGAGAGTCCAAAGAGTCCTCAATCTGTTTTTCTGCAGCCTATGTTCTAAATGAATAGAAAGCACTCAGTACAGAGGCTTCCCATTCATTCAGAAACTGGTGATTGTAAAATATTTACTATCATCCAGTTTATGAATGGGTAGAAGCCTCTGTACTGAGTGCTATTCGAAAACTCATGAAAGAACAGGAAGTGATGTAAAGCACTGTTCATTCATAACTGGGGACACATAGTACTATGTGTCCCCTATTGTTTACAAACACTGGATCACTCAATGTTTATGTTGCACACAGAGGATCGGTAAATATCACATATATTTACCCATCCTCTGCTCTCCATTCTGAGGCCATGCACAGCCTGCAGCTTCTTTTTGGATCCCCGTTGCTCTCCCCCGCATGTATGGCAATTCTAAAATGATGACATCATTTACATACGGGCATTGCATTGAACTACGTCTCCATTCACACTGGTGTTTCTGCATTTTCTAGCACATTTTTGATGTTGTATATCTTTGTTTTGACCAACGAAGGTAAAGTATAGTTAGAATAATAACAAATGGGGAAAGGAGAAGCGCCTCAAATAACAAAGTGGACAAAAAACTCCTGGGTTCCAGCGTCAATCTATAAGTATAGTTAGCTAGGCTGTCAGAATGAACGGGCTGCCCTAGCACAGTGCACCTCACCGCAGGAAAGCGCATTCATGTGCGTTTATGCAAAGCATAATATGATTTGGCCATTCCAATTGGTGGAAATGGAAATTTTATCGTTCCAGTAAAATCTAAGAAGCCAGCACTAGATTCAACTTGCCAGCAAACACAAAAAAACTGAAGCATCAATTCTGAGTCATCATAATGGACCAACTATAAAAAACAACCAGAGTATTAAAAAAAACAAAACACACAAATATCTTGAATGAGATATGAACTTTATTAAATACAAAATCCTTTATTATACAATGAATTACACTATACAAATCGGCTAATGAAGTATCAACTATGGTAAAATGACTTAACCAGGGTATAATAGCCCATTCCCCGAATCTAGGGGATGAACATACATAAGGAGGTCACACATCAAATATACAGGGATGCAGCATTTTGCAGTTATGTGGACTGGATACATAGACATGTAGTTCCTTTGAACTTACCTGTACTCCACAATTCATTACAATATATTTGTAATAATTTGCCATTTCCAATTAAGAGTCCAGTTCTACTCAGCCCCACCTTTCTAGAAAATTTGGATAAATTGTATTTATTAGCTAGGCTGTCGTCCTTTGTTAGCCTCCAAATTGATTGGTTCTGTACACAGAGTAAGGGCCAAATCAGCAAGTCATCAAATATTGCATTTGTCCAGGACAAGCTTAATAGAATTCTACAACTCATTTACAGCGCGATACATTTGGTGCAATATTCCAAAGGAATTGGAACTTTGGACAAGTCTTACATCTGCTATAAGGATTTTAAATGCTGGAAAAAGCTAAAGTATACCGGTCCTCCCTTCACAGCATAAGGAGCAATACTGTGTCCTTGAGCGGTATTCACCCTATGACTTCCCTTAGAACATTGCATTGTAAGGGCGACTAAAGGGAAGCACCAGGAACCAGTATTGCCATTGCCCTACAGCTGCCCTTTATGTGTGTTGCAGCATCCTGTACCCCTTGCCTGCAATCATCTTGTAGAGGGGAAAAAAAGGTTGGAACCTCAAAGAAAGAGGAAGGGCTTTCTGGGGTCATGCTGATCTGCCAATTTAGAAAAGACAGCCTGGGTCAAAATTGCAAAGCAATGGAACTTCGACATGAATAAATTGTTGCATAGCACTTTATTCATGGCAGACTCTTAGAACTGCCCCCAGGGAATAAAAGTCCAAGATCCAAATATTTTATACAATAAGCCAGTGGCTGAATTAGTCCTTCGTTGACCAACTATGATTAAAATACCAGTTAAGTCACATAGGTTTTCTTCACAGGCCGCCAACCCTCTTGGCCAACCTTCCTGTCCCGTAGCATCATCCTGTTCATCTGCTGATGTCCTGTAAAAACTCAGTCTTGGTGTCTGTTTGAGCTTTCACAAGCATAATAAGTACCCCCCCGCGCGCCAGTGCTCAAGCCAGGCAATTGGCCACTTGGGTGCCGAGCACTGCATCAGAGAAAGAAAGGGAGAAGGTCACGTGTTCCCCTATACCTGGAAGTACTGGGTATAACCAAGGAAACATGGCAAGGCAAACCATCAGTAGGGAGTGTATTTTCAAAAGGAACCTGACATTCAGTCTAGTCCTGAGTGATTAAAGTGATTTATTGACTTTCAGACTTGACTGTCCATTTCAACTGCGATATTATCTATTACGAAGGACTATACGCGTATTAACCTCTTACCACTGGTGTAACGCATGCATTCGGCAGCATGTATGGCAGGTGGGCCTTAATGCCGGGGCATGCCCTTCTCTTGCCAGAGCCCTTGGTTTGCCCAGCACCTCCAGGTATGGGGGAGCAATTTTAGCAGAGGGTAAGCAATGACATCCCCTATAACTTTTTCAATGCTGGAGATTTAGGATTTTGGCACAAAGTTACACATCATTTAAATGATGAGCAATATGAACGAACTGCATTAACTTCAATCACCCCCCCCCCCCCCTCCCACCAATTCATATGCGCCTCCTTTGAT